GCCATTTGTTTTATCTTTCAAGAAATATCTATTTAAATCATTTGCCAATTTAAAAAATTGGGTTATTTCTCCTTTTGTTATTGAGTTGTAAGAGTTCTTTATATATTTTAAATACACGTCCTTTATCAGATACATGAATTGTAAAATGTGATGCTGTACTTTAAAGTACAACTATTTTTAATTTTGATGTCTAATTTATGTTTTCTTTCTTGTTTGTTTGTGCTTTTGGTATTGTATCTAAGAAATCACTGCCTAATCTAAGGTCATGAAGATTTATGCCTGTTTTCTTCTAAGAGTTTTATAGTTTTAGCTCTTTGATCTATTTCCTTTAGTTTTCAAAGGAAAACTGTCATGTTACTTTATGGGTGAACCCTAGAGCTTGGACTTGGTCCTTCTGGCCCTCCCGCTGAGTTGTTAAACAATATTTAAAGATAGGAACCGCAGCCTCCCTCTCTCCTCTATCCCACATGGTGTCAGCGCTGGGCTCCAGGAGGGCTCTGCTTTTGTACTGTTGTGATTCATTTTCTAGTTCACATTTTATTACTTTCAGTTAAGAAAAGGTAACTAAATCCCACTTCAAAATACTACTGAAGTTTAGTTTTTTTATGATGCTAAGTGAGAATGAAAGCCAGCAAGTCACTGCTGGCTGCTCACTTCCCGCTTCTCCCCAGTGCCAGGCAGCAGGTGTGCAGGGAATTGGGCGAGGAAGAAATGAGGGAAAGTGAGGCTCTTTCTCTTTCTCTTTCCACCCCCCAGGCATACAAAGCTGAAGGGGAGCAGCAAGGCCACAGCCCGTCCTTTGGCATTCTTCCATGCGTGGGATGCAGAAGGCAGGGTGCAGAGGACCCAGCTTTGGCCTCCAGTCTGACTTTCTCGGGGGAGAGAGAGCAGAACTGTGAGGCAGGGAGGGGAGGACAGTGGGCAAATAGGGGGGAAGGGTGAGGCTGAGGCGCTACTTCTCCTTCCCCTCAGACAGGTCCCCTGCCTGTCCCAGTCATCCGGGCTAGCAGCTGAAGGAGCCTCACCTGCTTTCCTACCCTGAGCACCAGGCTGTGAGGTAAGAAATCTCCCAGAAGCCCTCCCCAGACTATAGCAGCTTCTGGCAGAAGTTGGCCCAGTGTCTCCTCTGTGGCCACCTCAGTGCCCCCAAAAGAGAGGGGAGGAGAGGGCAAGGTGCCAGAGTAACCCCATGTAGAACCCTGGATCAGGTTCTCACAGTGGCTCTGGGCTGAGTTACACCTGGGTCCTGGTAGAGCCCAGCCTTGCTCTTCCCACAGCCTGGGGATTTCTCTGGAGGGAAGTAAAAGGCGGCAGCTCAGGCACCTGAGCCCCAGGGCAGGGGACACCTGTGGGAGGAGCCACAGGAGGCCGTGTGTGCTTGGGCTCAGCCCAGGGCGCCTCTGAGGATGGCCACATTGCCTTGTGCAGTGGGCCTCATGACCGCCCAGGGCTGGAGTGGGCAGCAGGTTGGCTGGGAGCTTAGCTCACATCCGGGTTTCCCTTCCAGGTCCAGGAGCAGCAGAGATGTCGAATGACCCGCCCCCTCCTTATCCTGGGGGCCCTACAGCCCCTCTTTTGGAAGAAAAAAGTGGAGCCCCGCCCACCTCAGGTAGGGGTCCCCTCCTGAGGCTCCCTGCCTTGGTGTGGTTCGGCCCTCTAAGCAGTGATCTGAGCTCTGCTCCAGGATCACCCTGGGCCCCAACTGTGTCCCACGGTGGTGGCATCTAGTTTAGCCTGTGCCAACTCCAGCTGAGCTTCCTCTTCCTGCTTTTTCTGTCCAGGCCGCACGTCCCCAGCTGTGATGCAGCCCCCACCGGGCATGCCGCTGCCCCCTGCAGACATCGGCCCCCCACCCTATGAGCCGCCGAGTCACCCAGTGCCCCAGCCTGGCTTCATCCCCCCGCATATAAATGCAGATGGCACTTACATGCCTCCAGGTGAGCTGGGAAGGGATCTGAGGATTAGATGGCCGGTCACTGTGCTGGCTGTCATGGGTCAGTGAGGCAGGGGCTGCAAACATGCTTGACCAGCCCCAGCCTCAAGCCCCAGCTGCGTGTGGACTCGGCCTGTGGATGTGGGAAGGCGGACAGGGGAGGCACTATGTGGCTCTCCCCAGGGACTGCTGTAGAGCTGCCCAGATCGGGGCTGGTCCTAGGCACACCAGGACCTGACACGGGTTGGGACAGGGCCCCATGTGCAGGAGAGGAGCTGGTGAGTGGCAGGGCTTTCTCTCCTGTGGTCATGGCCCTAGGGCTGAGCACCCAGTCCCTGTGTGCCAGGGCTGCCTTGTTTCCCTGGGGTGGAGACCAGGAAAAGCTGGGAGAATGTAGATGTCACCTTGACCCAGGGCCCTGGCCATGCGGCCTCCCACTGGAAGTTTCAGGCCTTGCCCTGCTCTCTGGGTGTGCCACAGGCTTTGTGCTCATCTCTCACCTGGGGCAGGTGGCAAGACTGACCTTGCTGCATTCCCTTTTGTGTTGTTCCCAGGTTTCTACCCTCCTCCAGGCCCCCACCCACCCATGGGCTACTACCCCCCAGGGCCCTACCCACCGGGGCCCTACCCTGGCCCTGGGGGCCACACAGCCACTGTCCTGGTTCCTTCGGGGGCTGCCACCACAGTGACAGTCCTGCAGGGAGAAATCTTCGAAGGCGCGCCCGTGCAGACCGTGTGTCCCCACTGCCAGCAGGCCATCACCACCAAGATCTCCTACGAGATCGGCCTGATGAACTTCGTGCTCGGTTTCTTCTGCTGCTTCATGGGGTAGGTGGTGTGGACGCTCGCAGGGCGGGGGCTGTGCCAGGGTCTGACGTGCCTCAGCTTTCTCTGTCTCTGGTTCAGGTGTGACCTGGGCTGCTGCCTGATCCCCTGCCTCATCAATGACTTCAAGGACGTGACGCACACGTGTCCCAGCTGCAAAGCCTACATCTACACGTACAAGCGCCTGTGCTAATGGAGCCAGGACCCAGGACCCCCGGCCTGTCAGTCTGGCCCCCTGTGCTTTGCTCCCCACGCTCAGTGGTCACTTCCTTGCTCCCACTTGGGGCTGGAAGCCATGCCACCGTCCCCTGGAAGTCTTGTTCTCTTCTCCTTGCCCTTCCCTGAGCACCTGACTCTTCCAGCAAAAGTTATGTTGGATTTCAGGCCAAGGGTCAGTGGGGGCGGGGCTGAGCTCCTGTGCCACCTGCTTGGTGTTTGTGATCAGGAAAGTAAGCTGGAAGGGGCATCCTGCTGGGGTCCTTATTCCTCTGTTTCTGTATGAGGTACAGGTTCAGTCCCAACTCTTCCTCCCTGGGACCAAAAGCAGCCAGAGCTGTGGCCATCTCCCCAGGCCTGGGGCCCACGGTGGGGCTGTGCCTGTAGCCACAGTCATTTCTGACCTGCTGGGCCAAGAATGGAGAAGTCGTCTGGAATCAGGTGGGCCCAAGCTGGACACGGTTGTAAGGCCTGGGTTTGTTTCTGGGGTACATTGTGCCTCTGGGGTGCAGGAGGTGAGGCATGATAGGAGTGATGACTGCCACCTCCAGCTCTCAGAACTCTCAGGTATAGAAACCCAGGACCCCCAACACCCTGCCCAGGAGCCGCCAGTGTAAGGTGGAGAAGACACTGAGTGAGCGATTGGGCCCTAGTAGCCAATAAGGAATGAACTTGCCTCTCGCCCTCTTTGAGTCAGCGTGCAGACCCCCTTTCTGGCCACGCCTGTGTGAATCCCGCATTGCTGGGCCAGAAGGAACGCCCATGAGCCGACCCTGCTCCGTTTACCCCGTGTCCTCGCTGCGTGTGGATGTAACTTCAGCCCAGAGGCTGGTGTGTCCCAGCTGGGATAGGACATGGCATAGTGGGCCCTCTTGTGGGTGCGCCCAGATCTGCAGTGCCACCCCATGAAGCTCTCCCAGTAAGCACTGTGCTGCCAGGCCTGAGCAGGACGCATCTCTGCTGGGCTGGGGACAGGCTGAAGGAAGGAGCAGCCACCAGTGGTGGACGTGCCCTGGTGGATACCAGCCCTGGGCCTGGGCCCAAACCTGTCTTTTATTTCCTGAATGGTTGGTTCGTGAACTTGCTCACCTGGACCGCTCTATCCTGCCGCCGTCCCACTCCTGGTCTCCCACTGCCACTGCATGGCCTCCCGTCACTGTGAACCGTGGCCCATTCTGTTTGTAGTTTCTCATTAAATCGGCCCTTTCACTCCCCGCCCTGGGCCTCTGCTCTCTTGCCTGGCTTCTTTTCTGAGGGAGAGAGGGTCGGGCTCCAGGTCCATAGGCAGGGTACTGCGTCCTCAGGGTCTCGACACTCTTCAGGGCTTATGCAGTGCTGGGACAGTGCTGACAGAGCAGAGGCAGGGGTAGACTAGCCCTGGGAATTCCAGCGGTGATGGTCCAGGGCACAAGTTGGCCTTAGCAGTGGCTGTTAAGGTCACCTCATCCCTCTGCTACTGGTTTTAGCCCTCTGTCTCCCCACCTGGGGGATCTGCAAGCTGGAGCCCTCAGCAGCTCGAACTGTAGGTGGTCCCTCTTGTTCCTTTAACCAAGACGGCCAGTGGGCTGAGGCTGGCGGTCTGAAGGTTAACAGGGCACAGTCTAGGCCCCAGGTCAGGTGTGGCCTTGGCCCTCTCTGTGAACTTAGCTGTGAAGGTGGTAGTTTAAAAAAAAGTTTCCCTACCTCTTAACTCTTGTTTAAATAAAACTTTCACAGGTAATAGATTCCTATTAATAAAAATATGTATTCTATTTTAGACAATGAATTATTTAAATACAAGCGTATTTAAGTAGGAAATCTCCAGGGTATTTGTGAGCTAAAAAATCATAGACCAGGTATGCTTTAAGCATTTTTTGCAAGACAGAGTGACTCTGCACTGGAGATGAGAGTGCTGGGGGAACCATGATGGCAGGAGAATGTCTACTCCCCACACAGCCACAACGCACCCTTGCTTCACAGTGACTCTGCTCTCCTCTGGAAAGGACACCTGACCCATTCCGTGCCCAGGAGGAGGGAAGGAGACAGCTTGCGGAGTCCATTTTATTGAATGTTGTAGCATTTACACAGGTCAGAGACAAGCCAGGGCTGAGCAGAGCAGGCCTCTTGGGCTTCTGGGGGAGAGGGTGAGCTCTCGGGGCCTCTGAGGCAGGGGAGCACCTGGCTTCTGCCCACCCCAGTCCCTAGAGAGGACCAGAAGTTGAGCAGCAGCATCTGGAAAGGGCCCTCCCACAGCTGCAGCTGGGCTCACTGGCCACTCGCTCCTGCAGGGGAAGCTGGCTGCCCCTGTTCTACAGAACAGAGGAAGGAGGGCATGAGCCTGGGACTCAGACATGTGGGTGCCCAGGGGAGGGCTGGTCTAGAAGCCCAGGCCCACCCTGCCACGCTGCACTAGCTGCTCCCTGGGCGACAGCCTGTGCCCAGTGAGCATCTGGCCCATCGAGAGGACGCCGTCAGGCAGAAGCTCTAGCGTCTGGCTTTTATTCATTGCCTGTCTCAATCCCAGCAATTTAAAAAAGTCACCTGAGGTGGTAGTTTAGTCAGGGGTGGAGATGGTGGTGGACCAGTAGTCACTTGGGAGGAGGGTGCCAGCACGGCGTCATGGGTCCTTCACATGTAGTACCAGGCCAAGAGTCCAGCAGCCAGGGCCACACTGGCAGCCAGAAGGAACTGGAGGCTGGGCTTCCTCAGCATAGCCATGGCTGTCCGGACAGGGCACCTGCTGCCCTCCAGGGCACCTGCATGGCAGCACCCACAGGAGACATGGCATCAGTGGGGGTCACTGACCGCCCACCCCAGAAGGGGAACTGGGAACACACAGACCTACCTTTGTCTTGTTGAGCAGCGTAGTAGGGGCACTTCCCCACGTCTCCTTTCCCATCGTGCACGGGGAGCCCATCCTCCATGGTCTTTCTGGCGAGCGCAGAGCCAGCCTGGTCCAGTTCGTTGAATATCTGCAGGAGCAGGGGCTGGACTGAGCAGGGATCCCTGCAGTGCGTGCACTGCTTGCGGAGCAGAATTGCTCTCGCGTGAGCTGAGGAGGTGCGCTCGCTCAGGAGTGCAGCTGGCAAAGCGAGCGGCCCCGGGTGGCGGCTGCACTGCCTGGCACTTCTCCCAAGCACAAGCTCTGGGGAGGTGGGCCCCACCTGTGTTGCTGGCACCCCGACAAAGCTGCCAACTGTAGTGGGTGTCCCCTGGGAACTGACCCGACATGTACCCCAGGCCTGGCCTTCTCTGAGAGCTCAAGCCACTGAAATCAACAGGACACAGGAGAAGGCACAGGTATATCCCCACCATTTCTAGCTGCTAGTTATTTTTTAGCAAGAAACAATAGAAAAATAGGATTATGGGAGAACGAGGCCCCAGTGGGGCAGACCCATCCTGAGTGGCTCCAGGAGGCCTCAACAGAGGGCCAATGGGGTCTGTGCACAGCCTGGCACTTCACCCGCCCACAGCCACTTTCCCTGGGACTCTGGGGACAGGATCAGCCTCCCCAGGCCCAGCCCCATCTACAAGCTATTTGTAAACAGTTATTCTCCTTACTGCGTTTGGTAAAACTAGCTCTCCCTGAACTTACCAAGCAGAACTTTCCAGAGCAATCACTGCTAAAAAGGAGGAAATTATCCACTCCTCAAGACCAGCGTCCTGGGGTAAGGAAGGACACAGCTCCATTCACCCAGACTCCTCACCCTTTCCCAAAATACTGCCCGAGGCAGCTCTCAGATCAGGCCTTCTGTGCTGGGCCCCATCCACTGGGCCTGTACCCTGTGGTGGTCAGTCTGGTTCCTTCGGCTTTCTCTCAGCACACTGCAGCCCACCTGTCCTCACACCATGGACGCCCTCCTCCCAGGCAGCTCTGGGTTTGCTCCCACTGTCAAAGGTTCCCTTTGTGGCTCAGGCACCCAGCAGTACCTGTATGTTATACTGGAAGGCCTTGTTGGCCTCTTCCACGATCCTCTCTTTGGTCTTCAAGTTGAGGTCCAGGGCATTCATCCTGGCCCGGTAAAACTGCTTGAACTGCTGGGCATTGTCCACATTTTCAAACAGGTAGAACTGGGTCCCTTCCCCAGTGCTGGGGAGTTTCAGTGCTCGCTGAGCCACCTTCTTCAGCACCTGGCCCCCTGAGAGGTCCCCCATGTAGCGCGTGTATGCATGGGCCACCAGCAGCTCTGGCTCGTGATGCCCTATGTAGTGGATCCGCTCCACGTACTTTTGGGTGGCCTCAGAGCACCGCGTGCGCTCCTCCCAGTTGTCACCAAAGAAATACTCCATGTCCTTGGTCAGCGCCTCCTTCCGGTGCAGCTCCACGGGGAAGTACAAGGGGGCAAAGCCTGGGTGGTCCTTGTTTCGGTCCATTTCCTCCTCGAGGGCCGAATACGTGAAGTACAGTGCGGTGGTGGCCAGCTGTGGGGGCGACAGGACGGGAGAGACTGTGGAAAGGGCCACGGGCATGGCCGCGACACCTGAGCCCACCACGCCCAAGCGGCTGGGTACAGAAGCTCAAGCAGTCCCCAAAGACCTGATCCTGTGCCATTTTTGTATGGCGAATTATTTCACACACCCAGGAAGCTTAACATTTAAAGGAGTGACGTGGTGAATTCTTTGGAACAGGAATACTTTTGCTTCTTTTCCATCACTATGTTTGTTTAAGCCACTAGAGCCACAGCTTAATGTCAAGAAGGGAGTGGTGGGAGAAAGCCCCGCTTCCCCCTCAGAGTGGCTCCAGGGGCACCTTTCTCATGGGACCCCAGCCCCACATGAAAGTCCGGAACCCAACCTCATCCATGATCAAGGGGCACAAACCTTAAATAGCTCCTTCTTAATGTTGCCCTTCAAGAAGTCCTTGACAAACTGGGTGTTTTCTGCCTGGTCATGTGCTTCCTTGGTCCCTTCCTTCAGGAGCTCGGAGAGGTCAGCCATTCTGTGGAGACAGGACGTGTGTATGAGAGAGAGAATCAGCCCTTCCTGGCTCCCAAGTAAGGACCATAGGATGAAAGACGAAGTCCAGACGCCGGGATGACCACATGCTGGACTGGAGGCAGGCCTGCTTACACACGTCACTCAACACGAGTGACAGAGACGTGTCAGGGAACACAGGGCAAACACACATGGCAGTTTGCCCCAATGACTCAGGACACAAGGGATGACTATGGCCATCTCCTCAAAAGTATCCTTGTCTGTGTGTGTGCATCTGCTGGGAACCACGCAAATGAACAACACGTTGCTTCTGTGGCTGCCTGATGGCCACAGAAACACACATCTCTAATCCTTCCAGTGTTTGCTGGTTTTTTGCCTTTGCGAACATGTCCTCCTGGAATCCACACACCTCACACACCTGGAATCCACAGTAAGGGGCTGTGACTGTGGATCTCCTGGGGTGGCCCGGCTGTCCTCTTCCCACTTTGGACCCACAGCCTCTTTAGGGCTACATGTGGCTAGGCACAGATGTAGGAGAATAAGACGACAACAGAGAGGTTGGGGCCAGAACCTTGGGTTTGTGCTGCTTAACAAAATTACACAGGATAGGCCAGGCACAGTGGTTCACCCCTGTAATCCTACCACTCTGTGAGGCTGAGGCGGGAGGACTGATTGAGGCCAGGAGTTCGGGACCAGCCTGAGCAAGAGCAAGAGCAAGACCCCGTCTCTACTAAAAATAGAAAAATTAACCGGGTGTGGTGGCACACGCCTGTAGTCCCAGTTACTCGGGAGGCTGAGGCAGGAGGATCACTTAAACCCAGGAATTTGAGGTTGCTGTGAGCTAGGCCGATGCTACAGCACTCTAGCCCGGGCAACAGAGAAAGGCGCTATCTCAAAACAAAACAAAACAAAAATTAAAAACAAAACAAAACAATTAGGATAAAGTGCTGATGGATGAGCAAGGTAGGAAAGGTAGAAAATGTGTGATCCCTGGCCGGGCCCAGTAGCTCACACCTGTAAATCCTTAGCACTCTGGGAGGCTGTAGTGGGAGGATCTCTTGAGCTCAGCAGTTCAAGGCCAGCCTAAGCAAGAGTGAGACATCATCTCTACCAAAAAGAAAAAACAATGAAAGTGTGTGATCCTGGCCAGCTCGGTGGCTCACGCCTGAATTCCAGCACTTTGGGAGGCCGAGGCAAGAGGGTTGCTTGAGGCCAGAAATTTGAGACCAGCCTGGACAACACAGTGAGACACCATGTCTATAAAAAATAGAAAAATTAGCCAGGCATGGTGGCGTATGCCTGTAGTCCCAGCTATTCAGGAGGCTGAGGCAGGAGGATCACGTGAATCCAGGAGTTCATGGCTGCAGTGAGCTATGATTGCACCACTGCATTCCAGCCTAGGTGACAAAGAAAGACACCGTCTCGGAAAAAAAAGAAAAGAAAACATGATCCTAAAGGTGGTGGCCCCTGGGCATGGGCTCACATGTGTCCATATGATCCATCTACTAGAGCAAGAAAAACTCGGCCCTCCCATGATCAACCTCTGCTGGCTTCTTTAGATTAGCTCGTATCACCCATGTGCCAAGAGTCACATGTGCCGAGAGTTTATCACCAGCAGTTGTTCACGAAACTTTGCTGGTGACAACGCCGTGTGAGAGGCTAAACACATGCACAACAGGGCCCAGCATTTGAGGTTTGCAGTGAACTGGCCCTGCAGAGTAGGAACAAGCCTGCCCTAGAGTCAGAGTTACTCCCACATTTTAAGTGGTAGAAGACACTGTGAAAACAAGCCAGCCTGTCCCTGATTACTCTTTCTCAGCCTAGAAGAAAAACTTAGGTTTTTAAGAGGAAAAACAGAGAAGTACTACCATCAAATCCCATCACTGGTACTCCAGCAGCACCTGTCCTGCCTCCTTGGCTAAGATAACGGAACAGAACAAATGGGGAGAGCGCTGAGCAGCCGGGGTCCACAGTCCAGGCCCCGTGACTGCCCCCAGTGCCACTAGCGAGGAAATCAGGTGTGCCAAGCATGGCAGGCACCACCCCACCTGGCTCATCATAGCCAGCACCCACTGCTCACCTGGTGTGGTTTTCCTTTTCTGAGATCCCAGAGTTCTTTTTCTCTGACTCGTCTACGCCCTCTGAGGTCTCCACTTCCACTGACATTGTTGCGAAGTGTGGTACTTGTGCTCTCGCTCCTCTGGTCCTGTAGAGACACAAGGAGCTGGTAATGGGGCACCCAGAGCAGTCACTTCCCCCAAATCCCTGCAGGTTCTGCTCTCTGAGCCAACGTAACCAAGGTGACACCCACACACCCCAGGATTGCTTTCCTTAAAAATAAAGCTCTGCAACTACTGGGACCATGTCGGAACATGGACAGAATTTGAATATGGACACTGTATCGACACTGAGCTTGCTGGTTTTTAAAATAATTATACTGTGATTATGTAAGAGAATGTCCTTGTTCCTAAGACAGAAGTAAAGAGGCACACTGTCTGCAACTCACTGTCAGATGGTCCAGAGAAGTGTGTGTATGTGTACACACACAGGTGGGGGAAACTAGCAAGTATGAAAGCAGATGAGGCCAGGTGTGGTGGCTCACACCTATAATCCTAACACTCTGTGAGGCCAAATCGGGAGAATTGCTTGAGGCCAGGAGTTTGGGACCAGCCTGAGCAAGAGTGAGACTCCGTCTCTACTAAAAATAGGAAAATTAGCCAGGCATCGTGGCGCGCACCTGTAGTCCCAGCTACTCGGGAGGCTGAGGCAGGAGGATCACTTGAGCCCAGGAGTTTGAGGTTGCTGTGAGCTAGGCTGACGGACACTCTAGCCGGGGCAACAGAGTGAGACTCTGTTTTGGGAAGAAAAAAAAAAGATGAGACAAAATGCTAGCAGTTAGTGAATCTGGGTAAAAGATAGAGTTCCTTGTACTATTCTTACAATTTCCTGTATGCTTGAAATTATATCAAAATAAAAAGTTACCAAAAACATTAAAGAAAATAAAGCTTAAAAAAAACCCAAAAAGCAGCAGCAGCAGCAGCTCTGAGCCTGGAAAGCAACACACACATTCCACACCACACATGCTGCCCGTGAGAGGCCAGGCCTTGTGCAGAGGGCAGTGTGAGCAGGGTACAGCTGGAACCTAGTAAGCCAGGCCCTTCTCAGCAGCTCGAAGGCACCTGGACAAGCCTACAGCCTCTGCACGAGTCACCAAACAAGCAGACTGTTCCCAGGCCACGCAGGACTGCTGGGCTGAAGAAAACAATAAGTTGGCCAATCAATACCCACTGCTGCAAGGGCTGAGCCTTCGTCAGCCAGGGAAATACAGTCCCATAACGCGACAAACTCATCTCTGTCCCTGGAGACTTCTGCTCTGGCAGTGTAAGGGGCAGTCCATTTGGGGAATGTTCCAGATGAACAGTAGCAACAACAACTAAGAAAGTAACTCACAAAGAGAGAACTACTGACAGCAAATCGGGCCAAACTGTGCCAAGGACAGAAACAGGCGTGGAGGAGGACAAAGAAATACAAGAAACAGTCCTCAAAAGGCTAAAGAAGAAGAAAAAGCCCAACCTCTTCCTCCCCCCACAGGTTAACGTATTGGCACACATCCTTCTCAAGTTTCCTCTAGATACCTAGTTACATTTTTCCTGTTATCTTTTGGGACATGGTTTACCAGCAAGATCTTTCTGAACCTTTTCTCATCTTCAGATTTAACATCTGTACACTGGGATTAATTTCAGGAAGTAAAAGGAGAACAGACAGCACAATGCCTGCCACATGGTAAGCACTGAATAAATGTTAGATAACAACTGTACCTGTATTTTGACTGAGGCTCAGTGTGTCCAAGAACACTCAGAAAATAGAATATTTAGAAAATGGAACCTTCTCCTGGCTCCAAGTCGGACATACTCTCCCCTCTTCAGTAACGCCGATGAGCTGCACAGGACACGGCACGGTCCAGACACACGGGCAAGCAGGCAGTCATCATATGGAGAGAACAGTATGCAGAGAGGCTTCTGGGGAAGGACCCTCAAAAACCGACGGAATTTGAGGTGGGGCAAGGGGAGGACTGTAGCTCAGGGGAACAATATGAACAAAGCTAGAAATGGATGGTCCACAGAGATGGCAAAATATACCCAGCTGTGCACCCTCTTACACAGGCCAGGCTCTGCCAGCTCCGGAATAAGCCCCACAGGGGCCTTCTAATGGCTTGTCCACACTGACCTTGATTTATAGACTTTTCGGAAGGAACAGCTATGCTCCACACCCCCGGGGACCTGATAGCCAAAACTGGTCTCTGGCTGCTCAGTTCGCAGGCAGCAGAGAAGAGGGTGCTAGGAGGGGAGTGTGGGGCTGCCCAGAGGAAGGGGCACAGTAAAGGGTCCCAGAGCCTCTAGACAGGTGGTGGAAGCCCATGCTGAGGACTTGCCCCAGGTCTGCAGATTCCCTCATGCTTACAGGTGAAGTAAGGCAAAGACAAGGACAAGTGTGGTCTGCTGCACAGGTTACCCACTGTGGTCACTTTAGGTAAGCTTCCTGCCATGGCATCTATCATGCGGCACAACAGTGACTGTGTATGTCATTAAATCCCATCAGTAACTGTTTTATTCAGTAACTGCAAGCTCTGGGAGTATAGTCTTACTTAAGCAACAAGGTCTTCTCTTTCCCTTAAAAATACAAAAAGGGGCCTGGCACAGTAGTTCACATCTGTAATCCCAGCACTTGGGGAGGTTGAGGTTGGAGGATCACTTCAGCAAATCGGGCCAAACTGACAGCAAACACTGTCAGTTTGGTCAGGAATTTAAGATGAACCTGGGCAACATAGCAAGACCCTGTTGCTACAAAAAGAATAGCAAAATTAGACAAGTGTGGTAATACACACCTGTAGTCCCAGCTACTTAGGAGGCTGAGAAAGGAGGATTACTTTAGCCAAGAGTTTGAGGTTGCAGTGAGCTATGGTGACACCACTGTACTCTAGCCTGGGCAAGAGAGTGAGACTCTATCTTAAAAAAAAAGAAGAAGAGGGGAGGGGGGAGAGAGACAGAGAGAGAGGGAGAGAAAAGAAAGGAAGAAAACAAAGGGAAAGGGAAAGCTGGCCTCTACCGGTGCCCGCTTTAGCATTTTCTTAGCAGCACTTCATTTGTGCCATCTGTCCTCCAGCTTATCCTCTTCAACCTCACTTCTGCCTGCCAGCCCCAATTCCTTTCTCCCAGCCCATGACAGGCTGAACTCTGGACCACAGCTGTAGCCTTCAAGGCCTGGAAAATGCTAGATTCTGAATAAATACTTGTTGAGTAAAAACATTCAAAGCAGGCCAGGCGCAGTGGCTCACACCTGTAATCCTAGCACTCTGGGAGGCTGAAGAGGGTGGATCGCTCAAGGTCAGGAGTTCGAGATCAGCTTGAGCAAGAGCGAGACCCTGGGGGTGGAGGGGGCACGAATGCTCCTAGGAAAGCTCAGCACATTCAACCCACACAGGCTGGAGCCAGGGAAGCAGCCTGTGTCTATCCTCTATCCCTGCAGCCTAGTCACTGTTCTTCAAGGGAGTGGCCATGTAGCGTGGCTACCTTGCAATGGCAGAAACAATTCTTCTCACTCTCGGAAAAGCTCCACGTCCAAACTTAGTCTGGATGACCTCTATATTTGAATGCTGTTTTCTTTGCAGGAACTACTGATAACCCTAGAAAACTGGGGGCCAAGTCATAAATGTAGAGCCTTTCTAGATTTTAATTTCTCACATAAACAAGAAGCTGCCCCACAAAGAGGAAAAAAAAAGATCCTAAAAGATTCCACTCTGAGAAATATTAATAGTCATCTGTACCAAAATAATAAAGAGCCATACTATGCCATTAGGGAAAAATCACATGGCCTAACAACAAAGGGTAGGACTGCTCAAACGACAGTGAACAATAGAATCCTGGCACAGTCGGGACAAGCTGATAAGCTGCATTCACACATGGAAAAGTCTACACATATTTTAAAAAAAAAAAAAGGACCCAAAACAGTGACAACTGTGTGCAGAAGTATATAAGTATATGGACAATGACAGGAGGGGAATTTGGAGAGCTGTAAATACTTGATTTTTGTTGCAAATACTTGGTTTTGTTGTTAACTGGCTGCTGCTTTATTGTATAAAGTGACTTCAATTCTCTTGGAAAGAAAGGGGAAGGGGAGGAAAGCAGAAGAAGGGAAGGGAAAAAAGAAACCAAGCAAACCAGTGAAGATCCCACATTGCACTAACCAGTCAACACGAAGTCCCTGGGCCCTCTTTACTTTGCTATCATTATACAAATGCCAGAAAGGTCATTCTGCCGTCTCTCTTTCCCATTTCCAAAAAACTGTGACCCTCTACTACTACTACTACCTCTACTACTCCATAATTCCCATACTCGAGCTGGTCACCTATCAGCAACTGGTTTTCATTCTGACACCTGATCTGACAGAAGGAGTATCAACGTTCCTATCATAGTTACTTCCAGCAAAAGAGGTTCCTTCAGACCCGCCCAGCAGACCCAGAACACTCATCTCAAAGCTCTTGCCCCTGGCAAATTGCAGGCTGAAGGCACCAGGACTTCTGAAATAACAGATGTGTTCCAAAATGTTAAATCCTCTATGGACACTCAAGTTCAACAAATTTCAGGTCACATAGCACAGTGCACTGCTGCCGGGCGTAAACCTAATCTAAGGACTACATTATAGAATTCATCCCCCATCTGGTGAGCCAAAAAGGAACAAAAAAGACTTCTTTTTCTTTCCTCTGGAAAAACCGCAACTGAAGGAAGGGGGCAGCTTGCTGAGGCCAGCCAGCACTGAGAGGAAGGAATGGCAAGGTGACCTGCTCCCTGGAATGAGAACAATTCTGCAAGCCTCTGACTCACTGGAATAGTGACACTTGACAGTGATCAGCTCCTGCACTTCATGTGATGCCATGGCATAAGCTAGTGTTGTTACCCACATGCACAGGGAAGCTAAGCGGCTGCTCGGAGATGTCTGCACCCTACCCCACTGATGTTCCCTCCCTGCTGAACGCCTTGTGGCTGTGCACCAGAATTCCCTCCATCATCCTGGGTGAGGTCCCTGCCTGCTTCCTAGAAGACTCTTAGAGGTCAGCATTCACTTCTGTCATCCTGTTTCCCCAGTTAAACCAGAAGCTTCCTACAAGACAGATCAAGATTCCCTCAGACTCTCAGTGAATCAGGGTCCAATATCACTTACAGCCCAGCACCCGGGGAGCCTCCAACCGGAGTTACTGCTGTTGCAATGTGCAGATGGAGTGCCTACTGACAAAGCTAGCTACCTAAAGGTTTGTATGTGCATGTATAACAAGAAAATAACAGTTAACTTCTAAATAACCAAGTAATACAAAATTTTAATTGGGTACTAGGTCCCTACATTAAGTGGTATGGCTGGGTGCAGAGGCTCACAGCTGTAATCCCAGAACTCTGGGAGGCTGAGACAGGAGGATCCCTTGAGCCCAGGAGTTCGAGGCTGTACTGAGCTATCTATGATCATGCCACTTTACTCCAGCCTGGGTGACAGAGTGAGACCCTTATCTCTAAAACAAAACAACAATAAACTAAACTGGTAAGAAATCTAGTTTAATCTTTTTTCAGATCTGACTCAACTTTTTTTTGAAACTTTTTAAATTAGCAAATAATAATTATATATATTTATGAGATACAATGTGATGTTTTGATACATTGGGGAATAATCAAATTTTACACACTTATCATTTCCTTGAACTAAGATCATTTAAAATCCATTCTTTCAGCAATTTTGAAATAGATATTATTAACTATAATCACTATACTGTACAATAAATCACCAGACCTCATTTCTCCTGTTAACTGAAATTTTGTAACCTTTGACCAGCATTCCCCTTTCCACCTCCCCGCTCCCTCAGCCTCTGGTAACTACCATTCTACACTCTACTTCTACCACTTCAACATGTTTAGATTCCACATATAAGTGAGATGTGGTATTTGGCCTATTTCACTTAACATAATGTCCTCTAGATTCATCCATGTTGTCATGAATGACAGAATTTCCTTTTTAAGGCTGGATATTCCGTTGTGCATACATACCACATTTTTAAAATCCATTCATCCACTGATGGCTTCTCAAGTGTACTGTGAAGACCAAGTGAACTAGCGTGGATGGAGGTGTTTCAGGGAATGTAATGCTGCCTCAAATGTTTACCTCTTACCGAGAAAGATGCTGGTGAAAATAAGCAGCTGGGGGACTGTGAAACCCAGAGAAGAATGCGAAATCCCACAAATTTCCAGATAATTCTGGGCAGGTCACACATGAGGACTTCTGACTCAGACCTCATTCACTGGCAGTGTCAGAAAATGGGAACACCTGTTCTTTCCAAGGTGAGACATGTGACCACTGCAGGGTAGAATATCCACACTACAGATGCCGGAGACTGACTGAGCTGGAAGTTGGGGGCAGCAGAGAGGGCTAAATCAGCTCTAACCCAACAAGGCACCAGAAAACAGAGGACTCTGAGCACCGTGAGGAAACCACATCATCTAGGTCAACAGCTTCTGAATTTACAGAATAAATGGCCTGAGGTCTCCTCTGAACGCTGGTGCTGCCACTCCTCAAGAAATGTTATACATAAGCCTCACCCTTTCCATTTCAATCACCGGGGAAATTCAATCCCATGGCTCACTGAATGGATGAATAACTACTACCTCTTGATAAGGAGCAAGTTCAGACAGTGAATCCTGGAAAAGTGGAGACTCTGGGGACAAAAAACACTTGAGTCAGATTTATTAAACATGCACTTGCATATTTGGGCAAGAAGCAAGGAGAAAGCAAAACAACTGCCAACTAGTCTAAAGGCACTAGCCTCACAGTAACCTCAAAAACTGACATCAGTTCAGGAAGTCCAAGACTTTTTTAATTGGGGAGGGTGAGTGTGCACATCTCCAGCCATGTTCAAATACAACTGAGCAAGCAGTCCAAGCAGACACCAAGGATGAAACCTGAAACACTGAAAAGAGCTCAGAGAAGGGGCCTGGAAGTGACTATTGCTGTTGCAACGATGGGTCCTTGTAAAGAGCCTTCCTACTACAAATGAACTAAACACAAGACTCGCCCCTGTTCCCTGACTGCCACTTTGATTTATATGAGAAGAATGGGCCTCTAGGTTGAAAAAATGAAAATTCCTCAAGCCCATAACAAGCGCCTGGGAGTGGAGGGGTGGTGCGGAAGCCCTGACTGAATTCCAAAATGGCTCTGGCTGGCTAGGTAGTCCTAGCTACTCAGGAGACTGAAATGGGAGGATGGATCAAGGCCAGGAGTTTGAGGCTGCAGTGACCTATGATTGCAATACTGCACTCCAGCCTGGGCAACAGAGCAAGACCTCATCTCTAAAAAGTAATTTAATAGTGAAATTGTTTGAGTGGGTTTTTTTTTTTTTTTAGAGACAGGGTCTCACTCTGTTGCCCAGCTATGTGGCATCATCATAGCTCACTGCAACCTCGCAGTCCTGGGCTCAAATGATCCTCCTACTTCATCCTCCCGAGTAGCTGTGACTACAGGCACATGACACCACCACCAACCTTTTATGTTTTGTAAAGACTATGTTACTCAAGCATGTCTCAAACTCCTGGCCTCAAGCAATCCTCCCACCTCAGCCTCCCGAAAGTGCTGGGATTACAGACGTCAGCCACGGGACCCAGTCTTGGGTGGGATTTTTATAAGGAGGACAAAGCAGGCATGAGGCATCCCACTGGAATGGTTTTAACAGAAATGGTGATGAAATCTTAGGTCATCCCTAGGTTACCATCAATCAAAAATTATTACAACTTTGAACAATTTTGAAAACATGTCCTGTGTATAAGTAGCCAGTCATATTTCCTTTCACTCAGGCACAAAAACTGTGTCACCTGTAGCTTCAGCTTCTATCAGAGACTGTGACTAGCATTTGGCCGTAGAGGGAAAGAGAGTGGGTGATTAAGATGTTTCTGCTACATTGCCATTTTGCAAAACCTGGAAGTGCCATCAGCTCCCAGGTGCTTTCCTCTCTACAAACAGATGGAAGCCTTAGAAGTGATTCCTGCCAAGGTGAAGGTCCTCAAATTCACCCACGAGAGGCTGGGGCCAGGACGGAGTACCAGACTACACTGCATGCAGCCTGGACAGCAAAGGAAGATCCAGACTACAAGGCCTGGTCCACCAGGCTAAGTTACTTTCGAGCAGTGTCCCATTGGCTATGAAGAAACTAAGAATGAGAGAATACTATGTCCAAGGTTACTCAGAGAGTTAACAGTCAAGTTGGGACTAAACCAGAGTTAGGTGATTCCTCCTGTGTCTCTAGCTAATCCTCATTGGTTCATGTATGTGAGATTAGAGTCGTGTCACCAGACTACTAGCAACACGGAAACTGAAACTACAGCCTATGGAGGCACTCGCACCACACTGCATTTCTGTGTGCACGTAGGAGTTAAACTACAGTGTGTGGTTTTAGTATGAAAAGCGAGCAATATCCTATCATTTCAGAGCAATAAGTATGGGCACAGGCCCATCTGACTATTCAGAAGCTGCTGTAGCCTGTCCCCGAAACACTCACCTTGGCTCACTCAGATGACACAACAACCTGAGAAGATTGTTCCTGGGTGAGGACTACATTTGTTGACTATCAGTGCAGGTCAAAGCTGGTCCCAAAGGGGAGGATGGCATACCTTACCACTTGGCGACTGAGAGTAAGGCCAGACCTATTAGGGTTTGGTGGACAATGACACCAGGGGCTCCAGGGCATCCCTACACCAAGGGGAGGTCACAATAGGGTCTGCACATCTCTATAGCACCGATTGCCATAGGAACTACAGAGAAATAGAATATCTGGTTCGAGAATCTGGAAGTGTGTCAACCATGTGTTAAGTATTTAAAATCTAAGCAGTCTCATTTTTCTGCCTACTGAAAATATGCTCTGCCTAGGAAATGGCAGTACAATGGATAGGAAGTATGTTAACATAAACTTCTTATAAGATTAGAAACTCCACAGGAAAGGTTCGGTTAGTGGAACAAAGTGGCTCCTGCCTCTCCCTCCGGGCGTGTGGGGGATTCGCACACATTCCCACGGGCTGCAGAGGCAGGCGTTACTCCCAGGGTTCTTCACAGCGACCGCCCGGACACCGGTGGGGGCTGGAGTGGGGGCGAGGAAACACCCCAGACCAAAACCAATAACTCCACGTGGCTGGCTAGTCCCACACAGGCTTGTGGCGGCAGTGGCAGGGGACTAGCTGCAGCAGCTCCTAGACTCCTCAGAGGAGAAGGGTCGGCTTTCTCAGCCCTACCAGCCGGCCCTGCTTATGCCCAAGGAGTGGTGAGGGGAGCAGAGCAGTCGACCTGCTTCCATCTCACCTTCTGACTCCCTGTCTTATTAAACAAGGCACCACGATTTCATAAGCATGAGGGTCCTCAACTGTTTTCCTCCCTCAGTATACAGGACCTGATCTGCACACAAGCAACAATATCCCACAGGAGTAGCCAGGGGCTGGAGGGTGGAGAAATGTATTGCAAGTGATGGGACATTCCCAGCAGTTAGCCATGACAGCAGCCCTCTCTTCTACCTTAAAAAGCCTTTCAGGATGAGAGCCGACTTACCCAATTAAACTTATTTTTTAAGACAAAGCATTCAGTATTCATAAACTCCACTGTTAGTAACAGATTACTTGGAATACACCTCATCACCACACTCAAGGACAGAAAATCAAAATAACACAGTGATTACTTAGCAAAACGACCTTAAACCAGCTTTCTAGGAAAGAATTCTAGATACTCCAGCTCAAGGAAGCCTTCCAGGATTGAAGCGAGAAGACACCACATCACCATGCATATTCTGCGTAGATGTGTGCAATTTCCGCAGCTATGCTCTTCCCTTTCCTCACCGGGATGGAACTCCCAGGACAGGGCCCCCCATCACAACAGTCGCTTAGTGATGATTCAGTATCTGTATAAATGCCACATGTGACTATTAATTTAGATAGTAATTTAAGTATTTGTATTAAGTATATATCCTATGACATAGAGGCAAAATCCCTCAATCTAAAATTTTCCAGAAGATGAGTTCAACAAGTCTAACAGCAGACACATGCACAAAAGTCCTTTCTGCATAGCACAATACCGATATGTTCATACGGCACACAAGGAGTTGAGGCAGTGTACTGACTGGTGTGATGAGCGCTAGAGCCTGACCCGTGGTGGGCACCCAACAAATGTTAACTGAGGTGAACCCAGGATGAGAGAATCTACTGGCCACACAGGTGGAGAGGCAACACATGGCTGTGGTTAAGGCACAGGCTCTAAACAGTACAACTGACAGCAAACCCTGGTTCTACATATAAGCAGCTGAGTGGACTTGGACCAGCTACTTAATTTCTCGGAGTCTCTTTCTTTATCTGTAAAGGACAGTAATAACAATTCTGCAAGGTAGGGATGAGAATTAAGTGAGATTAATGAATTATAAAACTGTGACATGTTATAAGATGCTGATTAATAAATTAAAGAAAATGCCACTTAACATATAAAACTGACAAAGACTTCTATGTACTTTCAAACAAGAAACAGAAATACCACTGTCTCCATGAAAAGCCCTACAGGCCGCATCAAGTCTACTGAGTTGCAGGCTTACCATGAAGAATGTACATTTTCATTCTAACAGCATTGCATACCAAGAAAGGAACAGAAAAATCTTGGAATGTATAGCCAAATACATTTTGCAAACGATCTAAAGGAAGATGATCACCTTAGTCCAATTCCTTCAAGGATACCCTGAACATGAGTTAGGTGAAGGACTCTCCCTGTTACCAAGAGTCAGGATGGGGGACAGGGCACACTTCTTGTTTTGTTTCTTTAGAGAAATTTATCAGTATAAACAAAGGTTTTGGTAACTGAAAAATGTACTTGATCTTGTGACAAATATAATCTACATTTTTATCTCATAACAATCAATCCTCAACCCAGTGTTTGTCAACTAGGGACCAATTTGCTCCCTAAGGAACATTTAGCAATGTCCTGATATGTTTAGTTGTCACAACTGGGGAATGGAAGTATATTACTGGCATCTAGTGGGTAGAGTTCAAGGGTTACTGCTCAATATCCTACAGTGTGCAGAAAGCACACACACCCCCCTCACCATCACAAGCAATCCAGCCCAAAATGTCAGAAGTGCTAAAGTTCAGAAACTCTATTCCACCTCAGAAGCAGTGCTGAGGCAGTTCAAAAAAGGGCATGAATCTAAAACCTCTCTCATCCCTTTATCAACTGACAGAGACAAGATGAGATTTGTTTTGGCACTATGTTTCAAACCATATGTCACACCTTCGCCAAATATCCTCTACAGAGATTTCTGGGAAAACTGAATGGCCACCAGAAAACAGAAGAGGCTGTTAGGTGGGACAACTTGGCTCTGCCCACAGATGACAATGAAACGGGTCAGTACCTTCCTTGGAACAGGCCCCATTTGGATCACTGGAGGCTAAACATCCAAAGCAAGCTCAGTAACAAGCCAGGCAGGTGTGAACCCTTTGACAGAAATGTGTTTACTGACTTCTTTGTAAGATAGAACATGAAACTGGGAGAAACCTAATTATTGTCTGTCAGTAAGGTATCTGACTGACAAATAGTCTAAGAAAGAGAAAAATTAAGTTCTACTACTGGGTCTGCTACTAGCTAGCTACAGGACTTCCCTGGAACTCCAGTCATTTCTCAGCGAGCTGCAGGGAGAATAGTGTTGAACAGTATGCAAAGCAGGGAAGGCTGTGGGCCTCCTCCATCCTGCTTCTGCCAGAAAAGCTTCTCTATTCCTTGCTATATTTCACCCCCACCAAAAAAAAGTTGTGCCACTTCTAAAAATAAGGTCTAAAAACAAATATTAAGTGATGATATTGGAGGTCTGATATTACATTAAGAGCAACCTAAGTAAGCTTTTTATGATCTATTATAGCACTTGATCCAGTTATAGTATTTATTAGTTTACATGTTTATTTTCCAGATTACAGTTCATTCATCTTTGTCTCCTATTGCCCAACATGGGGCACACACCTAATCAGGATTTGCTGACTGAATGAATGACTTCCAGAATGTGAGGTATTCTCAAAATTGAGCAGACTAGGCATGGGGTGGCTTATGCCTATAATCTTAGCACTTTGAGAGGCCAAAGTGGGAAGACTGCTTGAGGCCAAGAGTTTAAGACCATCCTGAGCAACATAGTGAGACCCCCATCTCTACTGATACTCCTGGATGTCTGCATCTGTGAAAAAATTCTGTATCCCCTACAGTTGTTCTTTGAATCTGGATTTCACAACAGCAGCAGGGTCTCTTCATGTCTGTTCCCCTAGGGAAGGGGCCAACCACAAAACAGCACTAGCACACAACTTCCTAACAAGCCCACATCCTGTCTCTATGCACATATGAGAGTAAATACACCAAGGCATCAGGTTATCATGATCACAAGGGGAAATGCTACAATTATCATAATTTACTAAAGAGGAAAAAAAAATGCAAAAAACCCCCAGCAGTTTGCCACCGTAAAACTAAATAACTCCTGTTCCTTCCATGGCAAATCAATCACTAATAAAGATTAATTTTTTAATCAATAAAAAAAGTTATAAACAAAGTATTAAAATAAATAAATAAATAAATAACTCCTGTTCCATCTTCTCCAATGAGGCAGTGCCCATGAACTACATGCATTAAAGTTTAATTCCTATAATTCCCAAGAGTTGCCCAGAACTAGTCCAACATTATCCCCATTAATCATTATCCAGAGGAAATTCAAGTAGTACAGAACATCAACTATTGACTGAAGACATGATTAGACAACAAGGAATGAATAACTTTAGGAAAAAGCAGACAAAATGGTGAGTGTCCAATAGCTTATAGGCCCGAAAAGGCAGAGACGCAGGCTCCCCAGTGCTGTGAGAGCTATACTTAAGCTTTTTTCAAACAAAACCCTACACCGAAGGCCAATTAAAGCAAGTTAAGTGGAGCTTCCATGGTTAAAGCGAATGAGGAGAGGGAAGGCCAGGGGGCTCAGGAGCTCAGCAGCTCAGCTCCTCCAATTCCCTTAGGGCCCCTGAGCTTGGCCAAGTTTGCTCAGCTGTGGTCTAGGGAGGCAAGGACACTCAAACAACTGGCTACCATTTCCACCACATAAGCTCAGTAACCAACAGCTCTGGGTAGGGTCTTTTAGGCCTGTGTATGTCAAAAGCAGCAGTGGGAAGGAAGCTGGTCCTGGATTAGCCACTGTTCCTGGACCTGCCCAGGACTTTCAGGCTGCTGGGCCAGGGCTTCTCTTTCACACCTTGTTTCCAATAGTCTAACAGCTCCTTGAAAACTTCATGACCTTCCAAAAACCATGTGGATTCTGTCTTCAACTCACCCTATCCCCAATATTCACATTTAGCTCTAACCCTAAATATGGACAGGTGCATACTCTAACCAGCCACACGAGACTGTAGAGTCCCAGAGAGCAGACCTTGAGCCTTGAACACCTCTGCCTCACCCACACTAGCCAGTGAGGGTGCAGAGACCTCAGGCAGTGCCCTATCTCCTAGGAACCAGATTAGATCACTGCCTACCCGTGGGAACATGCTGTCCTTTGGACATGAACTCATATAAGTCCCATGACAGTTGGTGTTTGGTATAAGACTATTTGTTTACAAAGTAATATCCTAGGGTTTCTGTCTTTAATCTTCCACTCAAGTATCTCCTCATCTGAAGACATAAAATCAGAAATGTGCACTTCTGAAGATAGGAAGGAAGGGTATTTGTCAG